ATGTCATGGAGAGAGGAATTAGAAAATGCCTCACTTTCGTAATACATCAAATTTCATCTAAAATTTTCGGGAAAATATACTCAAGCCCTTGTAATTTCGAAAAGACTCAAGTTCCCCCAGGATGACCGAACAGATACAAATTCTTCAGCGCCACTTAAAATGCTTCTGAACGGTACTCTGGATAGCATGAAAGTGTTTTCAGTATATTCATTAGGAGAAAACCGTCGTTGGGTGCCCCTGATAAGTGTCTACTGAAAGGCAGACCATTACCCAGGTATATGAAAGATACTGGAATGTTCGATACGATATCAATAGTGTCATTCTCAAGTGTCGACAATTTTCAGGCAAATCTGGTTTGGTATCGGTACATCTTTCAAAATTACGTTTACCTGTTATTTTATAGCTGGCGAATCAGAGTGCTAATAAAAAAGCCACCATCTCTCTTATTGCCTCAGTGAGGTTTTTCTATCACTGTTATCTGATAATAGTAAGCTGCAACTCTGTTTCTCTTGGCGTGTTATCTATGCTGGTAATACTATTAATTTTACCTGTCTTACCTACCCACAGAGACCCTAAAGTAAAAAAAGAAGGCTTGGTCCCCAGCGGAGCGGACGGATAAGGGTGCGAGGGATGATGGGAAGTAAAGAAGAGGGAAAACTGGATCGAAGGATGCGGAAGAGCTCAAATTGCGTTCCATTAAAGTCATATCGTCATAAACAAACAAACAACAACAATGAAAAGCACAAAGTCAAAAGCACGGGATACAGTTCTTTAAGTGGTTGTTTCATAGAATACTTCGATATCTGTAGGCGTGAATTTGTGGCTTCCAGCATAGAATTTACAGTTAGAACCAGATAGAGAATACCCTGGGGGGGGGGTAGCTATTGCCACAATAAGTATAAGAATCCTGTTTACTACCAGAGTTGTTTGATATGATAATATCACCCTCGCCAAATAAAGGTCCATAAAAATCACACCTTGGTACAGCTCTATGGTACTTATCTGACTTGACTCGCAGCTTAACAGGATTAAATACAGCGTGTCCAGAACCGTTGTTATTGGTCAGTGAGTAGATAAAGGCGTTACGTGAATCTCCAGAGGAACAACCAGCACCTGGGAGATAATAACGACATTTTACAATTCTGACAGACCTTACTAAAGGCGCTCATAAAAAATTAACTTCTAGGAATATTCAATGATCCGGACTTCAGTTTAAAATAGTGAGTGCAAGTCCGGCTTGTCATACAGACATTCCTAGACAACCTATGCATAACTGCATTTTTAAAATTTGCTCTATTTGTATAAATTTTTCAATGTTCCTAAGTATTGAGTAAAGTAATGACACTGTATTAACTTTGAAATTAGTGGGGGAGGGAAAATTATTTTAGAAAATTAGGCAGTTTTAGAGGAGTAACAAACTACTATAGCAAAAAGGGAACTCTCCCTAAACTGGAATCCCTCAGTGTTAGTGGAAAAGAGCGTGTTGCAAACTAGAATGTATAACGTGATATCATAACTGAATCCAGCTCTATCGAATTATTGAAGTGCCTGAAAACTACATTAAGACTATAAAATGACAGACAGTATCACACATGCATCTGATACATTTTTTTCATTTAGCCTCTGCATTGCTGAACCCCTTGATTCCGTGGTTCGTTCAGTTTTTAAAGTAACTTTGCTCATGAATGTTCACGGATGTAACTACCTTGCTTTTTACAAACTTAAGGAAAATTTTCCTTTTTCTCCTTCTTATTTCCGTGACCCGGGGGGTAGTTCTTAAGTCACACTTTTCATTAAAAAGAGTCCGCAGTTCATAGTTAGAGAACTTTAAAGATAATTCAGTAAAATTAGGCTGGGACCAGAGCCGTCCTCTTCTTTCCACTGGCACCTTAATGGGTTTTTGTAAGGAGAGGGCGAAACCAAATTTTGCAAGATTATGTTTATTGGTGTTGTGATTTAAACCTTAAATCAACGATAAAAAAGTAACTTGAAGTTTCGATGGTTTCATGTCATCATTATCAAAAGATAAGAAATTAACATGATTCGTGGAAGTATTTACTGTCTTTGATAATGATGACATGAAGACAAGCTTCTTTTTTATCATTGATTTTTGTTTTAAAATGTATTTCTAAATCGATTCTTATAAGATTTAAACCTGACCGGGATAATTTAATTCAAATTGTGAATTAGAGAAAAACAAACGTCTGGTAGTTGTATCAAGTGACGTCATTATGAAAATGACCAATTCTGATTCCTAAGGAATTACTTTCTCGCCTTGAGTTTTACGTAACCAGAAAAACATCCTTTTTTTTAACAGTACATGTACTCAAGCCAAAAGCCGCTGTACCACTTTATCGTTCTTCATTGTTAGCAAACAAAAAAAAACAAGTCCTAATTCTCCTGTTACATGTACTCACCAGCAACTTTCCATGTTACGTCACTGTATCCACCAAATATAAAACTGCCGACTTGAATGATAGTTACAGTGGGTCCCTTGTCATCACAGTTGCCGTGGAACGTAGACGCCGCCCAGCCGTCCTCTTTAGCGTGCCAACACCTCACAAACCTACTACGGACTGAGCTAGTTATCACGGGCTCCAAAAACAACGCCAAATTCTCCAAGTACCTACCGTCGTTGCCAAGAATGGTTGATGCACTAAAACCACCTTAAAAGAGAAATCTTTGGTTCATATCTTTGGTATGATCGCGTGCGGAAAAGCGCATTGATCCAGCACATTGCACTCAGCGTGGCTGTGCACGGATAGTCATGCTAAAGGTATATGAGACTCTCTATGGGCGAAGTCGCGACAATCGCTTGATGAAACGACAATCTTAGAGATTAAGCCACCGTCCACATGTATCCGGCTATTTTTGAATCCGCAACTTTTTCGATTCTTTGCAGATCCGGCTTCCGTCCACACGTATTCGGTGAATCCGCAACTTTCTGAATCCGCTCTCCAAAGAGGAAATTTTTGAATACGTTATAAATCCGGAATCGTGTGGACACTCATTCTGAATCACACGTCCCCATCTCCTAACCGGTGAGGAGCGCGGGGAAGAGAGACCCGACGGGTTAGGGGGTGGAGACGTATGACATTTCAGACTAGTGGGTGCTAAATCCAGACATTTTCTTATACAGTAACGTTCAGCGCAGTTCTTTACCGTGAATATTCAAGGCGGTGCCCAGCGCAACATTATCGCTTCTTTACTTCTGTTACGTCAGTTTCAAGTCTTTTTTTAGTATAACGTGTGTGCAGCTAAACCTACAATCAGGGACAAAAGTAGTTGACGCACTTGTCTAGAACGGGTACTTTTATCAACAATTTCATACCTTTATTATTTCATTCTATTTAAACGCCGTAAATCCCCGAATCAATGTTGTTTGTAGATAAAGAAAGACTTGAGGGTCTAAAACACAACATTGGTTTTCGGGAAAGGGGTAGGGGTACACAGGGGAATGGGATAGGTATGTTCACTGTTCATAAGAGGCCATTTTATAGAAGCGTCTCTACACGTTTGTCCCTCATTGTAGCTATGATTACTGTACACTTCAATTATCCCAAACGGCGGTTTGACATTTGGAAGCTTCTTCCATGTAGGACGGACGGATTGAACGCGGTAAACAAGTTAAAGGAGCGAAATATAGTGCTTGATGGGACAATTTTATCAGTGAAACAGACTGGCGATAAAATTTTCGCGTGAGCCGAAGATCGCTTTATTACAAATTAGCTGACTAACTAAGAGTGAATCCGGATACGTGTGGACGGGCAAATTCGATTTGAATACGGACACGTGTGGACGTGGAAATTTTGCCGAATCCGCAAAGAAAAATTTGCGGATTCAAAAAATATCTGGATACGTCTGAACGGGGGCTAAAGGTACCATCGCATTGCCATTTCGATAAAGTTTGAGAACGTCACTCGTGCGACAATGGCAAGGAAATTTGCCAAAAAGTGCGCTGCACGTTCGGGGTTTTTTTCTGTTTATCAATCAAACCTGTTGCATGCTTTTTTTATTTTCACGTTACCTTCGCCGTCATCGTGGTTGCTCGAGCGCCCCAGTAGCGTTACCATGCAAAACAACTATTGATATGCGACGATTTTGCTGAAAAGCCGACGATTTGATGAGAAAAGGGCGACGAAAACGACGTCCGCAGTTACTCGCCAACAGAGAGGCTCCTATACGAAAACAGTTAAATTTATTATCATGAATGCTTGCTACAATTCTTACTAAATACTGGGGTTCATTTGCCTTCAAGAATCCTCCTCGTGAGGTTGATCTCTGCGTTTAGGTCCCCCACCTCTTCTGCATATATACAGTCACTAATTCAAAAGTGCTCTACAGGTAGAAAGCCTGTAATCTTTCCCGGGTATATTACGAATCAACAGTTGCTCTAAGCCTCTATTTCCAAGAGAGGCTAAGTGCGATATGAAAATGACTTTTTATTCTCATGCAAATAAAAGTCATTTTCACGACAAAGATTTTGCACTCAGCTTCATTTTGAAAGTGATAATTCGGAGATAGCCTATTTTTGTGAAAGGTTTAAACCAAACTTTTACTTTTACGCGCCATCCTTCATACATTGCCTCTCTTTTATTTGCGAATGTAATTAAATTCTTCTGCTCGTACGCACGTAAAAATTACGCGACAGTGGAAATCCACCCTATAAAGGACCTAAAGCAGTTGTTGCCTTCTCTAAACGTCATTAGGACCCAAGGCGCAGTACCAACGAATGGCCGGTTTACATGAAGGTGGGGGACCCTAGATAGGTGAGGTAACATGTGGCGGGTCACCCCACCTATCATGTAAACGTGATCAAATTAAAATGCGAAGTTATATGGACAGGCGGGTTACCCCACCTAAGCGGGTCTCTTCACCTACCTGGGGTCCCCAATTACCATGTAAACAATCCCTAAGCCATCAACCCCCCCATTCTCCTCCAACTTTCACTCGGATCATTTTATATTTCTGGGCTTAATACTACACTCACTTGTTTTAATGCACTTTTTCCCATCTCCATTATATGGTGGGTTGCAAACACAGCTATAGGATCCCGGGATGTTTTTACACTTTGCATTAGCGTCGCAGTCATGTAAGTTGTCAGCACATTCATCAACATCTGAAAAACCAAAATTCCAGAATTACACATAAACCTACCTCCTATATTGGAATCACAGAACCTTTAAAAAGATGAAGTTCAAAGAGCAGGTAAAAGACTGCTTTCGTAAGATCGTTGAGATCGAGCGCTTACTGCTGTAACAATTATGTGACCATCTTCATGGTTTTAAGTGTAAGTGTAACTAGGGAAAGAGTATCAAAGGGAGCTATAAGCCCCGACTCTATAAAGGCGCGTCATAAAAATTAGTCGGAAAATTTTTGAAAATCTTTAAATAAGAATGACTGAGACCAGGTTATATGAGCCCGCGAGACTGAGCACCCCACGGGCACCCAAATCCTTGTTTTCACTAAAACCACTGGACGCCACAACCTGGTTGAGGTCTTGGTTATCTCAGGTCTTCCCAAATTTTTACCTCTACAAATGCTCCCATTGCCTGTGTAGCCAGGCCTGCATGTGCAGTTGTAAGAGCCAGCTGTGTTTGTACAATTCGTATTTATGTGACAATCATGGCTTCCATCCTTGCACTCATCAATTTATAGAGGAAGTAGAAAATATTAAGTTACAAGGAAAACATAACTACTTGCAAAAAAATGAAGTGAAGGCTTGGGTAGCTAATTATACCATTACAAATGCTCCCATTTCCTGTGTAGCCAGGCCTGCACGTGCAGTTATATGAGCCAGGAATGTTGGTACAGTTGGCATTGACGTCACACTGATGAATTTTATCCTTGCATTCATCCAGGTCTACTATAAAAAAGAAAACAATAAAACAAGCATAAATCCCGCCCTTGCATCAGGAGCCCGGCCAAAAACCTGGCCAGCCTTTCCGGGTTTTTGGCCAGGCTTACCGGGAAAATGCGGCCTAAGCCTGGCAAGTATGGCCACAGCCAAGCTTTCTTGGCAACCTTGGCCACCAAAGCTTGGCCTTCCTGGCTTTGTTACTTCCAAGGCCGAGCTTTCTCGGCAACCCTGGTCAAAAAATCCTGGCCTAATAAATCAGCATATCTTGTGGACCAGTGTCCTACTCTGTGGCCACTTCTTGTTGATGTGCCTTCTTGTATTGTTACAGTATGACAGTCAAACTATCTGAAGCTTGAACACCTAGACATCATTATTGATTTCATTAATCGATTATTGAAAAAATAAGTTTTGCAATATTCAAATCAAAACCAGTTTCAAAAAATTTGCTTTTTTATTGAAGTCATTAAACAAAAAATAGTCATTCAATTAAAAAACGAATTTTCAAACTGTTTTTGATTCGAAAAATTTGCTTTCACTAAATTGAGGAATGAATTCAATAATCCATTCTTGAAGCCAATAATGATTTCTAGCTGTTCACGCTTCAGGTAGTAAAAGTTCCCAGACAGTTATAGTAAGAAAAGGAAGCATGCAAGCCTTCTCAATAGGGCTTATGTTTATTTATTGACATTTAGTGCCCACATCTTTGATTCTCCATACTTAGGTTGGATTGCTACATGTGACATCCAGTTGTGCTATATTTTATGTCCAGCATTGCATTAGAATTTATTTAGATCTTCCACATGAATTGTAGTGAGTGTGATTATTTACAAAACACACAATGACCCACCCACAATCATCGTGAAATTCTCTTTTGGCCCACCCCATGATTTCCCCTCCGCCAACCCCCCCACATAAATAATGACCGGTCCCTAATGTTATAAATTGGCCTTTTTATGCTAATGCGAGTCAATGTATTCCTTCCGGGACAACGCTCGGCTTCAAATAAACGGGGCCTGTCAAGTACAATTACCAGGTACCGTGGAGCACGGTTAGGCTAGAGGATGAGGCTAATCATGCAAATGGCTTCTTTGGAATTTTGTTCTTCTGAACTGGCTAGTATTAGTAGCCACATCTAAAACTGGCTCATCCGCGAATGAAACAAATCGGATGTCTATATAACACTACAGAATTTTAAATTATGATAATCAAATCATATCGAAGATTTTTTTGTAGTTTTCCAGTTCATGCTCCCAATAATGCCGACCCCATTGTGCTCAGAAAGTATTTTTCTCTTTTTAAGGAGGTCGACTTAGCTCAGAGGTCTTTAGCTTTTTGACTTATTTTAGTGCTTTTCCCATCCTTGGAGACCCCAGAATGTCCGGTACAACAACAATCCAGTCATCAAGAAGTCGACGTGCTCGCGCGCGCTGTTCCGGTTTTCTCAGGATTCTCCTCTTCTTACCTTTGCACCTGTCTTCAATTTCTCTTACGAATTCAACGAGTAATTTCCTGGCTCCTTCCTGTTTCTTATTTATCTCGTTCTTTTTTTGGTTTATATAGTTGGAGAACTCTGCAAAATAAAGTAACAAACAAGGACGTGATATAAATCTGACTGAATTTAGAATATGTAAACATGTTTTCAGTGAGTGTCTACAGGTCCTATGCCAAGTGTGTCCTTGGTAGGACTTTCATTCCCCCCCCCCACATGCACCCACCCAGGACAATGGGTGACTGTCTTCGCCTCCCACTGAGCTCTGCAATTATCATGATAATCATTCTCAGCGGAGGCCTGATTCAGTTGGCTAGGCCAAAGTAAGAACAAGGTACTTGCCAGTCAAAGCCTCTAGTGAACACTGCTGCTTACTGAAGGGGTTGTGTCAAAATAGCTACCCCACTAGTTTTTCCCCCCGACCTGATCCACCCACCCACTGTTAGGGCAGTCCCTGTACCGACCAAGACGGCAAGCCCGCTACTGTTTTGGACACTGCACTGGCCTGGAGCCGGGCTGCGCCCGAAATCAGACAGAAATACTCTCCTCAGTTTAATGAGAACGAGCAATGAAAGTCAATTTGAAACGAAGTCTCCTTGGCTTATTTCAACACAACCACTACCACTGAAGCTAAATTAAGCCTTGTCCACATATATCCAAATATTTTGTTTTGAAACAGGAGATTTTCTCCGTTTTCATGAACAAACTACGCCTCCACACATAGCGTATTTGAATTGTTTTAGTCCGTCTGGCTAATCGCTTGGTTGGAATATTGTCTTTCACCGCAGCAAGAAATAGGTCTTTCCAGGTCTGCCAGCAGCTTTCAAGGTCGCCCTCACCCACCACACTTGTAAGATTAACTGAACGCAGAGCGTCTCAACCACTTAGCCTTTTTTTAATATTCCACTACTAATTTCACTCACGTTAATCCAGAGAACACGTTAAAAAAACATCAATGCACTCTTTCGTTCTCCCACGCTTCTCGACCGTGATTGTTTATAAATGGGTAACCGATCCTTTGCAGACTGCTTGCTAGACAAAAACATAACACCACCACCAACAACAACAACAAGAACAGGTTACCACGAATGTTAAGCAGTTAAATATTCCACAATGAATTTAAAAAACTTTGGAACTAAAATGGAGTATCTGTGAAATGATCAGAAGCTATCGATCGCCGGAGAGAGAACTGATGTGAGGTATGTTGGAAGCTTTTAGTTATTTTTTTTTCTACTTTCAGACTTTTGCCTGCCCCAGCGAGTTTTTGAATGACAAAAGGGATTTTCCCCAAAAAATTTCGCTAGAAATAATAGTCTGCCACGTCGAAGCCGTCAGACAACCTACAGCAGCTTTCCCACCGACCGAAGTAAATAACAAAACGAAATAACTAATTAATAAGTTTCTTGAAGGATCACTGACTAGGAATTTAAATAAAATACGTCATGACAACCGTCAAACTGTTGTCGCTTAATTTCAACCTTTCTTTTAGTTTACAATCTTTTATGCAGTGAGTAAATTGTTGCATTTCAAAGGGCAAGCTTTGTCGTCTCCACGGCAACGTCAAATTGATGTAGTTGCACACTCGTTTAATTATTGATTTAAAGTTCAGTATAAGAGAAAGAAACTATAAAGCCCTTAAACCATCTCGATCATCCTATCCCTTCTAAAATTCGACACCGAATTTCAAGGTTTTTTTTTGAAAACAGTTTTTAATTTCCAACTGATGTGGTTCTAGAAACACATCCCCCATCCCCCTTGGGCGGACACAAAAATTGTAGGCTAATCTATGTTGCTGTACATGATCGTTTGTGTCGTAAGCTCAACAACGCAGCTGCATTTTTCTTGTCACTTTTTTCCCTTTCCTAGTTGAATATCATGCATAAAAATACGCGTCTAAAATTGCACTAGATATGGATTTTCTTCAAAGGTTTAAGGTTAGCCTCAGTGCAGTCTGGACCCAAAAGAATGTCTGATACTGATTCCAAGTAAGAATAGTTTTAGCGTTTTTTCTTCTGCTACGTGGGAAAGGTTCAGTTGAATCATTGTTTGTCCTCAAAAGAGAAAGGTTTGCATGAATAACTTGAAGTTTTTTTTTTTTTTTTTTTTTTTCAGGCGCCCTCGACCCGGACCTGGTAGTGCAATGGTCAGTGCAATGGCCGAACGACATCACGATACTTAACAGAGCCGGAGTGCAATGGCTCTGTCGAGCAACGCCTGAAGGAGGGTACACCAGTACGCCAAAATCGCCCAGGAATCGAACCTGGCCCCCCGGAAACGTTCCCCGCCCAACGGGGCACCTGAGCAGTCGGGCGTGCTAGGACTGCTATAAGGTAACGGGTCCCACAATGCAGAGCAACTGCATACAGCAGAACCCTTACCCGCACCAACTTGAAGTATGATTCATAAAAGTGCTAACAAAACTTTTCCTGTCATAGCTTCGGCCGGTCTGTGTTTTTCTCTCATTAACCCTTAGCTTGAGTTATGAACTTTTCAGATATTCGTTGTAGTTTTTTTATTTTAAGTTCTCAACCATTTTCTTTCCTTATGGTTGTAACAAATTTGGGAGTATGTGGTAAAACATTTTGAACTAAACGATAATGACTTTTAAATAAAAACATAAAAGTCATTTCAAAAAGACTTGTCCAGTGCCGTCAAAACCGTCTTAAGAATTTTGTTCCTGTTACATCGTAATCTAGCCCGCTTTGGCTTTTTCTCTAGCTTATAGTTTTTGCTTTTAGGGTACCGCATGACATTGTACGTAGTAGTATACTGTATCCACAACTTCATCCAAAAATCATGGGACCTGAATGGTTCATTTTGCTCAGCACAGAGTCAGGTGTAGTCCTCTCCTATGTTGAGTTTCAACTTCTTTCCGAATGGGAGGAAGCGAGGGTTATAAAATATTACACCTAGTAGCAAAACAAGAATGAAGGTGAATGTATAAGATGTGTGCATATATTAACAGTTGGCTTTAGTCATACCTTGATTTGCACTAGCAATGCAGCTTAGCCAAGCTCCCCAGAAGAGGCAGGTCAAGAAGAGTGCTTGAACGGACAAGCAACAGCCAGCCATGCCGGATGAATTTGCCAGAATGCTACCTTAATCGACTTTCGTCTTAATTTTAAGCTGAGATCACGGTCACGAACTAATAGCCTACTCAGTTCAGTTTGACACGTTCTGTTATCAGTTGTCGTGTTAATTAATTTTCCAAGTTAACAACAATAGCCAGCAAAATTAAAGCCCGCACGTTATTTTTTTTACTTCCCTTCACTTTCAGTTTTATTTATTAACTCTAATTGCCTTTAATGCAGCTAGCCACTATTTGCGTTAAATTTCTTAACATCTGCCAAAACGGCCGTGCGTTTTGAAGCTTTCTTGTTAAATATCTCCCGAAAAAACTGAGAATTAAAAAATATTTTTTAAAAAACAATTTATCATGTTTTAGTTTTTGTCATTGTTCTTGGATTTTGCGTCTTGTTCAGCTGGAGTATGAGCAGCAGTATGATACGTGCAGACTCAATTAATTTCAAAGTAATATTTTACCTAACTTCAATTTAGCGGATACTTTTAGTTTGGCATATTTTTAATAATATTTTAACAGCCGGATATCATTTCAATTGAAACTTTATCTTAGCTGCCAATTTTTGTTTCTACGGTGGCCCGTAAGGGACATTGCAATTTTTTTTTTTGCTGAAGTTATCGCGCGATAAGTTAAAATTTTCGCGCGATAAAATGAACAGTTATGGCGCGATAAATTGCAACTTCCCACATGATAAAGAGAAACTGGAACGTTGCGTGTGGAGAGATACAGTAATGATAACACAAAATGTTATACCCTAATCTAATAGGAATGTAAAATACAAAAGTTTAATCCTGGCAATTTTAAAGAACAAAACTTTAATCCTGTATTAACGCTAATTGACCTTTCAGGATCCGGGCCCTGGTGGACATATTATTTGTTCATTTCTTTCGATGAATTTGGACTCGGTCCTCCTTATCATGTGGATATTTTAAGGTTTTCTAAATTAATTTTTGCCTAGTCTGCTGAGCAAAATTACGATTATATATCATGAAGTTCATTCGTATCAATCTTGCGAAATGCCTCTCAGATTGTGCAATGAAATAAGGAGAATAAATCATCTCCTCGTGTCCCACAGTGAAAACAATCCCGGGGGAGAGGGAGGGCAGTACTCCCTCATATAACACATATAGGTATGTGCCGCCCCAAAGGGTATGGTTTTGGTGCCGTTTTGGTTTGAAAACAGGTATGGTTCAGTGACCAGAAAACCGCTCAACTAGTTTCATAACGCGTTTCCGGCACAATCTCTAGGGGGCGAATAGGCTGCTTATTTAACTTACTGATAACTGTGTGCTGTAAATTTCTTCGCAATGGTTGTATGACACATGGCTCTTTTCATAGCCACAACATAAGCTTACTTAAAAGGTCTTTACTACTCTTTTTTTACAGTGCGGTTTGTCTCTCAGGACTAGTGATATTACTGTAAATAAAAACTTGGAAGAGGTACGTGACAGGCCGCACATCTTCACCGGCGTGAAACCTTTGAAAACCTTTTACATATTCCTCCAGTGAGGCTTTCAGGGATCTTACATTTTAAAATTTGAACGATGATATAGCTTCTATATAGCGGACCAAGATACGGTTCGGTACAGTTTATGTTCAGCAGGGGAAAACTATGTGAGTAGAGCAGAACCTTTAAAATGTACAACAGACAATTTATTCAGTTCGCATGTATTCCTGTTGAACTTGTAGCCCGTTTATGAGATATGTCTGCTCAAAAAGATAATAATTTTTTCCATAGCTGCTGTAATTTTAGGGTATCTGCTTTTAATATCTCCGTACAGTTTAGGTTTACGCGATCTCAGAGAGCCATGTTCAGCTGTACACAGCAAGTAGTCTTTAAATATATCCAGATCTGACACTGGTTTTGGGTAGTTATCACGTCTTTAGTAGTAGTTGGCTTAAAAGTTAGACTATTACTCGTTCTTAGTATGATAGAGAAAGGGTCAACATCAAGATAATGCATGCATACATGCATGTAACGTTTCCGCTTCTCTTTATCATGTGATATGTTGCAATTTATCGCGCGATAAACTGACTAATTATCGCGCGATAATTGAAACTTATCGCGCTATAAGTTGAAATTATCGCGCGATAACTTAAGCCAAAAAAATATATTGTAATGTCCCTTACGGGCCACCGTATGTTTCACTGTTTAATACGGATCTTTTGGAATAAAGCCGTTTTTTAGTTTAAAACGTTTAGTGAGTTCTCTCCTTCGAAAAAAGGCTATCGTCTCAACACATGCACTTGTTGGGTACTTTTTATTAAATCTAAAATGACAAGAATATACGCAATTCAAGGATCCGCCCTGATATTACCATGATGTACGCATCCTAGTAGCGCGCGCGTCTATACAGGAAAGTACTTACAGTTACAACATGCAGTTAGTATACCAGAAAAAAATCTCGATTTGCTTAAACAGGGGCCGCGATGAATCGATGGACGATTACTATACCCTGCGAGCAGAGGCTACATCAATTTTTGCAGTTTACAGTTAAAGTTGATGCGTAGCAGTACTTTTTGCTGGGCAGCTCACATCGCGAAAGTGTAGACTCTGCTCGTAAGGTAGAAATTGTGTGCTGAAACTAGACTAGAATGCGTGTGAAAAAATTCTAAAAACGCCGAGCTGAGGGTGTTTGTTTTGATCAACGCTGCGCAATGATCGATCTGACTCAGTGCATGGAATCTTGCGTTTTCTGCTTTATTTCAGCTATTGTATGTTTTCTGTGTAAAAACCTTCAATACGAATCGGTGTATTTCAAAGAGCTACTCAAAAACCAAGGCTACTATGACCGACAAAATACAGAGCAGGGGCAGCTGTAGTGTCAACTATTACTGAACTCCCCGTCATCAAGTGTTTTAATTTATCGATTTAGCTAGGGCTAAAGGCGAAGCTTTCTTTAATATTTATACTGTCCTCAAAGAAAATATAAAATCGAATAATACTAAAGAGAAGGTAAAAAACAACAACAATGGATCTAATTAGCCAGAAACAACTTGACACGTACAGCACACTTTCTTTTTCTCATTAGCCAGAAATAACTGTGCAGGTGCAGCACACTTTTTTGTACATTTTCTCGCCGTTGTTTTGCACGACTAAAGCGTGAGACTTCTTTTAACTTCCTATTTACACGTTTTATGGAGAAAATTGTTGTGCTCCTGTTTACTCTGTTTTTTCACTGCCGCTCATTTTGACCTTGGTAGCTGCTAGCATTTCTCATTTTCTCACCGCCGCTATATATAATTCTCATGTTTTTCTTCCAACGAAATTGGTCTTAATTGTTATTTATTTCTCGCTCTAGTTGTTTCCCCAATATCCAGGTTAATGTAGACATTAAAATTTAGTGGAAAGAAAGGCTTGTTTTTTTGCTTGTTTGTGTTTTTCTCTTCAAAAGTCCGGTCGGCCATGTGTTTTACCACCGAAACGAGCAGGGGTGCTTTAAATGCAAAATTTTACCTCAGCTATAACATACTCCTCCCCCGAAGGGCCGACTCCTGACTCCCTTTCCCCTCTCCCAGAGTCTGTACGGTCAACGTTCGGTCGTCATAACTAAATTTTCTTGAATGGATTGATTACCAAATTTTCTAAGCTATGGGGCTCCGCTTAACTAATTAAGCAATGGAGAGGAGAAGTCGTTACGTCACGTTGTATAATAAAAGCTGTTATCAGTACGTCTCAAGCCCACTTTGGTGACCAGTTCATACATGTAGGTCCTAGTGGCTGAATTTGGGTAAATTTTCGTGACAGACCTCCTTTTATATTTGGCTCATGCATTGTTGCATTTTTAGGAGTGTACAAAATCATTGTGGTAGAGAAATGTGGTCACCCACCCTCCCTTTGGCTGGGCGGGTCACCCTTCAAGCGAGGCTAACTTTTTGTTTCTCACGTAAACAGTTCACCACATTTTGTAAGGAAATGTCCCTTCTACCCATGACAATTTGTCTCCATAAAAATAGGGCCATTATATAGGAAAGGAGCAGCTGCTTGTGTCTACATCAAGGCCTTTGCCTACCCACATGGCTACACCCAGCTGCATCGCAACCTTGCATCAACTGAACTGAACAACCATCAGATAGCCTGAGAAAACAGCCGACATTTTTCAACATCACCACTGGTTTCCCTGTGAAATGACGTACGAGAAATGACTGCAGAAATTTCATACTGTTGAGGTGCCAATACCCAGTTCTGGGTAGTGCTTCTGATTGGTCGAGAACCAAGGGAAAATTGCAATCAGAAGCACTACTCAGATCTGGGTAGTGACACAGGACGTCGCCAGTATGAAATTCTGCAGTCACTTCCAAACGTCATTTTAGGAAGAAATCAGTGGTGGCGTCCCCAAATTTTGGCTGCTTTCTCAAGCGACCATTGAGATTGTTGTCGCAAATCAAAATCTTGACTATAGAAGCCAAGGAAAAGGTCTCAAGTTAAACTGGATTCCACAACACTAGACAACTTGGGTTGACTACCATACACAGAACTCAGTTTAATTTTAAAGTTTCAAAGTCAGTTGGTTAAACAACTGACGGCAAAGAACGTACAATAATGAACAAAAGCTACAACCGAAAGTTACTTTATACTTAAGGCTGGTTTAACACAGCAGCAAGCTAATCATAAGTACCTTTTGTTACCTAATTAACAGGCATTCTTCATAACAGTTGACCTGCGCCATTTTAAAGCAGCTCTGTGACTGGTCTGCAATGAGTACCTCTGTTTCGAATGTTTGCCCTTGCCCAGAGCGGGGGGCAAGCGCCCGAAACCAAGGCGGATATACCTTTATGGGCCCTGCTCCAAACATCAGCTTTCAAAGGGTCTTCTCGTTGGTGACTTGATTTTATAAACTCAATGGATGAAACTTTTTTTTTGTGAGTTGGTCTCTCTCACCGATGCAGTACCACAGATTGTGTTGAAACTATAAATTCCTTCAACCACATTATCATTTTAAACTGAACCAACGAATCACAGAGATGCACATTTTCATGCGCATTTTATGAGGAAAAAACATTCCTTTGAACTCGATAACCAACCAAAGGGCCGCTTTGGATTTGTGCAGGGCATCGCGTGAATGCATTTTCTTAGGCATTGGGTTGAAAATTTAAAAAAGGCATAACACTTTATATAAGCCGTCCACAAAAGTGTTGATGCACACACGCGCGAGTCCACCTGGTCTCGATTTCTTCGATCGTTCAAGCAGTCTGCGCTAGGTCCGTGCGTGATTTAATGCCTGTTGCCGAAATGAAGGAATGTTCATGTCTCCCCGCATTGCTGAAGTCCCTTATTAAACTCTCCACCTGGCGGACATTTGCGTGTGTACCGACTCTTGCAAAACATACAGTAATAGGCCACTTCCGAGTTCCAAAAGCCCTCACTTTCAAAATGAGGCCAAGTGCATCACTTTTCTTGTGAAAATGAGTATTATTTGCATAAATCATTTCCATATCAAAGGCTGAGCACTTAACCTCGTTTTTATACAGAGGCCCAGGTAACTCAAAAATTAAATGGCCTTTTGCGAACTACAAACCTTGAATTACCTTTATTAAAATGCCTACACAATTTCCTATTACATTATGCAATATACGTAGCTAAGAAATATTGTATAGTAATGAACAAGTTTCAAAGTGTCGAAGCTTCAACTCTTGGGCTCAGTGGGGTTGCAAGATTCCATTTTGTTCTTTGCTTTTTTCTATTCTAATTTTTCTCAGACAGGAACTGAGCCTGAAAGCTGAAGCAAAAGACACTGCAAATTCCAACTATAAAATGGAAACAAAATTTATCGTAGCGCTGGTTGTACATCACAACCGGCTGTGAGGATTAGTGGTTGACTATTTACATACCGTATTTATTCGAATAAGGGCCCAACCTCGAATTAGCGCCCATCCTAAAGGCAGAAAAAGTTATTAAGTGCCCAACCTCGAATAAGCGCCCACCACCTAACATCCATCCAGCAAGCTGTATCTGCTTCTCGGGCACGTAACCCATTTGCCGGCTTTACGATGTCGGACATCCAGGAGGTAGCACCAGAGAATTCACTTACTGACTTCCCTAAAGACGGAGTTTTCTTCAGAGTAGTTTACAGAAACCTTGCTTTGATGTTGTTTTGTTGCAAAATAAACATTACTAAAGTTGCTGAAAATGGTGAAAATTCAATAAACACCCACTTTCAAGGTCCAAAAATTTAATAAGCGCTCAAGGCGGTTAATCGAATAAATACGGTGCACCTTTTTCATATTTGGGTCAAGATGACGAGATTGAATGGGGACCCTCCATGTAAGAACGCCTAATTTTGAGCTGAAACTGAGCCAAGACTAAACTTGCTTATTTTTGAGGCGATTTGAGCCTCAAAACGTTCTTAGGATGTTTTAAAATTACATGTTGTAAACATTAACGAAACTCACTCTTCTAGTAAAACCATCTGCTATCAAAAGAGAATTAAACTAATGAGTGTTGTCAGTCAACTAACATGCCGTAAAGCTGGAGGCAAACTCCAACTATAAAATGGACATTAAATTTATCTTAGCACTGGCTGTACATCCCAACCAGCTGCGAGGCTGACCGGTTGCCTATTTACATACACTTTTTTTATATAGAGAGGGTCCCCAGTAGGTTTTTCAGATGCGGGATTTCCTTAAAAGTTGCAGGACGGGATTCAGGATTTTAAAGCAAAATGCATGGGGGCGAGATTCGGGATTGAGAGTATATTCAGGATGTGGGATGCCAATAATAACCGTTGGGATTACGGGATTGAGCGAAAATTTGGATCAGGTTGACGAGATTGAATGGAGACCCTCTATATAAGAACGCCTAACCTTAACTTAACCTTACTTAAGGTAAGTGGTTGTTTGCCTCTAGGAAAACCGAAATGAACCCAGCGGCGGATCCAGAGGGAGGGGACTTTTGACTTAACGAAATTGACGAAACCTGGACAAAACTATTTTATCACTTAACTCAAGAGACAATTGCTTCAAAGCTGGGCACTGCACGGTTAGAATATCACGTATCATGACAGCAAGGTTCTTCGCAGTAGAAAGGAATGTGTAACGGTTTGGAATGATGTTCTAACGAAGTAAGTTATTGGCTTCACCAGTGTGCACAACTTGGTCCCCCGTTATTAAAATTTTCTGGATCCGCCCCTGAAATCAATCATAGAGTGGCGAGTGCACGCTTTCCCACTTTGCACTGGTTGCACGTGTCAGAAATCACTGTAAGTTTCTGATGTTTTCCTCTGTCCTTAGAGCTTTTTGAGTTCTTTGTGCCCGCCGTGATAACATAACAGATACAAGAGAGAACTGAACGAAATGTTGACATTTTTAAAATCCCTTATATTTTTGCGGGTGATATAACTCAGGGGCACTTAACGACTGTTTTATGTAAATATCTGTTCGGAGAAGCAAATATTGCCATGAATTTTCTATTTCTTGATGACGGCTAAAAATTTCCAGATGACGGTTCCATTCATGTACAATTTTCGAATTTTCTCATTAATTCCCTACGATTTGCTGAAGTTCAAGTTTCGCATTTTACTTCTCAAGTTACGTTATTTTTCGTAGAAAAACTAAACCTAACATTTTCGGATTCAATAATGTCATGGAGAGAGGAATTAGAAAATGCCTCACTTTCGTAATACATCAAATTTCATCTAAAATTTTCGGGAAAATATACTCAAGCCCTTGTAATTTCGAAAAGACTCAAGTTCCCCCAGGATGACCGAACAGATACAAATTCTTCAGCGCCACTTAAAATGCTTCTGAACGGTACTCTGGATAGCATGAAAGTGTTTTCAGTATATTCATTAGGAGAAAACCGTCGTTGGGTGCCCCTGATAAGTGTCTACTGAAAGGCAGACCATTACCCAGGTATATGAAAGATACTGGAATGTTCGATACGATATCAATAGTGTCATTCTCAAGTGTCGACAATTTTCAGGCAAATCTGGTTTGGTATCGGTACATCTTTCAAAATTACGTTTACCTGTTATTTTATAGCTGGCGAATCAGAGTGCTAATAAAAAAGCCACCATCTCTCTTATTGCCTCAGTGAGGTTTTTCTATCACTGTTATCTGATAATAGTAAGCTGCAACTCTGTTTCTCTTGGCGTGTTATCTATGCTGGTAATACTATTAATTTTACCTGTCTTACCTACCCACAGAGACCCTAAAGTAAAAGAAGAAGGCTTGGTCCCCAGCGGAGCGGACGGATAAGGGTGCGAGGGATGATGGGAAGTAAAGAAGAGGGAAAACTGGATCGAAGGATGCGGAAGAGCTCAAATTGCGTTCCATTAAAGTCATATCGTCATAAACAAACAAACAACAACAATGAAAAGCACAAAGTCAAAAGCACGGGATACAGTTCTTTAAGTGGTTGTTTCATAGAATACTTCGATATCTGTAGGCGTGAATTTGTGGCTTCCAGCATAGAATTTACAGTTAGAACCAGATAGAGAATACCCTGGGGGGAGGGGGTAGCTATTGCCACAATAAGTATAAGAATCCTGTTTACTACCAGAGTTGTTTGATATGATAATATCACCCTCGCCAAATAAAGGTCCATAAAAATCACACCTTGGTACAGCTCTATGGTACTTATCTGACTTGACTCGCAGCTTAACAGGATTAAATACAGCGTGTCCAGAACCGTTGTTATTGGTCAGTGAGTAGATAAAGGCGTTACGTGAATCTCCAGAGGAACAACCAGCACCTGGGAGATAATAACGACATTTTACAATTCTGACAGACCTTACTAAAGGCGCTCATAAAAAATTAACTTCTAGGAATATTCAATGATCCGGACTTCAGTTTAAAATAGTGAGTGCAAGTCCGGCTTGTCATACAGACATTCCTAGACAACCTATGCATAACTGCATTTTTAAAATTTGCTCTATTTGTATAAATTTTTCAATGTTCCTAAGTATTGAGTAAAGTAATGACACTGTATTAACTTTGAAATTAGTGGGGGAGGGAAAATTATTTTAGAAAATTAGGCAGTTTTAGAGGAGTAACAAACTACTATAGCAAAAAGGGAACTCTCCCTAAACTGGAATCCCTCAGTGTTAGTGGAAAAGAGCGTGTTGCAAACTAGAATGTATAACGTGATATCATAACTGAATCCAGCTCTATCGAATTATTGAAGTGCCTGAAAACTACATTAAGACTATAAAAATGACAGACAGTATCACACATGCATCTGATACATTTTTTTCATTTAGCCTCTGCATTGCTGAACCCCTTGATTCCGTGGTTCGTTCAGTTTTTAAAGTAACTTTGCTCATGAATGTTCACGGATGTAACTACCTTGCTTTTTACAAACTTAAGGAAAATTTTCCTTTTTCTCCTTCTTATTTCCGTGACCCGGGGGGTAGTTCTTAAGTCACACTTTTCATTAAAAAGAGTCCGCAGTTCATAGTTAGAGAACTTTAAAGATAATTCAGTAAAATTAGGCTGGGACCAGAGCCGTCCTCTTCTTTCCACTGGCACCTTAATGGGTTTTTGTAAGGAGAGGGCGAAACCAAATTTTGCAAGATTATGTTTATTGGTGTTGTGATTTAAACCTTAAATCAACGATAAAAAAGTAACTTGAAGTTTCGATGGTTTCATGTCATCATTATCAAAAGATAAGAAATTAACATGATTCGTGGAAGTATTTACTGTCTTTGATAATGATGACATGAAGACAACTTTTTTTTATCATTAATTTTTTGTTTTAAAATGTATTTCTAAATCGATTCTTATAAGATTTAAACCTGACCGGGATAATTTAATTCAAATTGTGAATTAGAGAAAAACAAACGTCTGGTAGTTGTATCAAGTGACGTCATTATGAAAATGACCAATTCTGATTCCTAAGGAATTACTTTCTCGCCTTGAGTTTTACGTAACCAGAAAAACATCCTTTTTTTTAACAGTACATGTACTCAAGCCAAAAGCCGCTGTACCACTTTATCGTTCTTCATTGTTAGCAAACAAAAAAAAACAAGTCCTAATTCTCCTGTTACATGTACTCACCAGCAACTTTCCATGTTACGTCACTGTATCCACCAAATATAAAACTGCCGACTTGAATGATAGTTACAGTGGGTCCCTTGTCATCACAGTTGCCGTGGAACGTAGACGCCGCCCAGCCGTCCTCTTTAGCGTGCCAACACCTCACAAACCTACTACGGACTGAGCTAGTTATCACGGGCTCCAAAAACAACGCCAAATTCTCCAAGTACCTACCGTCGTTGCCAAGAATGGTTGATGCACTAAAACCACCTTAAAAGAGAAATCTTTGGTTCATATCTTTGGTATGATCGCGTGCGGAAAAGCGCATTGATCCAGCACATTGCACTCAGCGTGGCTGTGCACGGATAGTCATGCTAAAGGTATATGAGACTCTCTATGGGCGAAGTCGCGACAATCGCTTGATGAAACGACAATCTTAGAGATTAAGCCACCGTCCACATGTATCCGGCTATTTTTGAATCCGCAACTTTTTCGATTCTTTGCAGATCCGGCTTCCGTCCACACGTATTCGGTGAATCCGCAACTTTCTGAATCCGCTCTCCAAAGAGGAAATTTTTGAATACGTTATAAATCCGGAATCGTGTGGACACTCATTCTGAATCACACGTCCCCATCTCCTAACCGGTGAGGAGCGCGGGGAAGAGAGACCCGACGGGTTAGGGGGTGGAGACGTATGACATTTCAGACTAGTGGGTGCTAAATCCAGACATTTTCTTATACAGTAACGTTCAGCGCAGTTCTTTACCGTGAATATTCAAGGCGGTGCCCAGCGCAACATAAACGCTTCTTTACTTCTGTTACGTCAGTTTCAAGTCTTTTTTTAGTATAACGTGTGTGCAGCTAAACCTACAATCAGGGACAAAAGTAGTTGACGCACTTGTCTAAAACGGGTACTTTTATCAACAATTTCATACCTTTATTATTTCATTCTATTTAAACGCCGTAAATCCCCCGAATCAATGTTGTTTGTAGATAAAGAAAGACTTGAGGGTCTAAAACACAACATTGGTTTTCGGGAAAGGGGTAGGGGTACACAGGGGAATGGGATAGGTATGTTCACTGTTCATAAGAGGCCATTTTATAGAAGCGTCTCTACACGTTTGTCCCTCATTGTAGCTATGATTACTGTACACTTCAATTATCCCAAACGGCGGTTTGACATTTGGAAGCTTCTTCCATGTAGGACGGACGGATTGAACGCGGTAAACAAGTTAAAGGAGCGAAATATAGTGCTTGATGGGACAATTTTATCAGTGAAACAGACTGGCGATAAAATTTTCGCGTGAGCCGAAGATCGCTTTATTACAAATTAGCTGACTAACTAAGAGTGAATCCGGATACGTGTGGACGGGCAAATTCGATTTGAATACGGACACGTGTGGACGTGGAAATTTTTGCCGAATCCGCAAAGAAAAATTTGCGGATTCAAAAAATATCTGGATACGTCTGAACGGGGGCTAAAGGTACCATCGCATTGCCATTTCGATAAAGTTTGAGAACGTCACTCGTGCGACAATGGCAAGGAAATTTGCCAAAAAGTGCGCTGCACGTTCGGGGTTTTTTTCTGTTTATCAATCAAACCTGTTGCATGCTTTTTTTATTTTCACGTTACCTTCGCCGTCATCGTGGTTGGTCGAGCGCCCCAGTAGCGTTACCATGCAAAACAACTATTGATATGCGACGATTTTGCTGAAAAGCCGACGATTTGATGAGAAAAGGGCGACGAAAACGACGTCCGCAGTTACTCGCCAACAGAGAGGCTCCTATACGAAAACAGTTAAATTTATTATCATGAATGCTTGCTACAATTCTTACTAAATACTGGGGTTCATTTGCCTTCAAGAATCCTCCTCGTGAGGTTGATCTCTGCGTTTAGGTCCCCCACCTCTTCTGCATATATACAGTCACTAATTCAAAAGTGCTCTACAGGTAGAAAGCCTGTAATCTTTCCCGGGTATATTACGAATCAACAGTTGCTCTAAGCCTCTATTTCCAAGAGAGGCTAAGTGCGATATGAAAATGACTTTTTATTCTCATGCAAATAAAAGTCATTTTCACGACAAAGATTTTGCACTCAGCTTCATTTTGAAAGTGATAATTCGGAGATAGCCTATTTTTGTGAAAGGTTTAAACCAAACTTTTACTTTTACGCGCCATCCTTCATACATTGCCTCTCTTTTATTTGCGAATGTAATTAAATTCTTCTGCTCGTACGCACGTAAAAATTACGCGACAGTGGAAATCCACCCTATAAAGGACCTAAAGCAGTTGTTGCCTTCTCTAAACGTCATTAGGACCCAAGGCGCAGTACCAACGAATGGCCGGTTTACATGCAGGTGGGGTCCCTAGATAGGTGAGGTAACATGTGGCGGGTCACCCCACCTAACATGTAAACGTGATCAAATTAAAATGCGAAGTTATATGGACAGGCGGGTTACCCCACCTAAGCGGGTCTCTTCACCTACCTGGGGTCCCCAATTACCATGTAAACAATCCCTAAGCCATCAACCCCCCCATTCTCCTCCAACTTTCACTCGGATCATTTTATATTTCTGGGCTTAATACTACACTCACTTGTTTTAATGCACTTTTTCCCATCTCCATTATATGGTGGGTTGCAAACACAGCTATAGGATCCCGGGATGTTTTTACACTTTGCATTAGCGTCGCAGTCATGTAAGTTGTCAGCACATTCATCAACATCTGAAAAACCAAAATTCCAGAATTACACATAAACCTACCTCCTATATTGGAATCACAGAACCTTTAAAAAGATGAAGTTCAAAGAGCAGGTAAAAGACTGCTTTCGTAAGATCGTTGAGATCGAGCGCTTACTGCTGTAACAATTATGTGACCATCTTCATGGTTTTAAGTGTAAGTATAACTAGGGAAAGAGTATCAAAGGGAGCTATAAGCCCCGACTCTATAAAGGCGCGTCATAAAAATTAGTCGGAAAATTTTTGAAAATCTTTAAATAAGAATGACTGAGACCAGGTTATATGAGCCCGCGAGACTGAGCACCCCACGGGCACCCAAATCCTTGTTTTCACTAAAACCACTGGACGCCACAACCTGGTTGAGGTCTTGGTTATCTCAGGTCTTCCCAAATTTTTACCTCTACAAATGCTCCCATTGCCTGTGTAGCCAGGCCTGCATGTGCAGTTGTAAGAGCCAGCTGTGTTTGTACAATTCGTATTTATGTGACAATCATGGCTTCCATCCTTGCACTCATCAATTTATAGAGGAAGTAGAAAATATTAAGTTACAAGGAAAACATAACTACTTGCAAAAAAATGAAGTGAAGGCTTGGGTAGCTAATTATACCATTACAAATGTTCCCATTTCCTGTGTAGCCAGGCCTGCACGTGCAGTTATATGAGCCAGGAATGTTGGTACAGTTGGCATTGACGTCACACTGATGAATTTTATCCTTGCATTCATCCAGGTCTACTATAAAAAAGAAAACAATAAAACAAGCATAAATCCCGCCCTTGCATCAGGAGCCCGGCCAAAAACCTGGCCAGCCTTTCCGGGTTTTTGGCCAGGCTTACCGGGAAAATGCGACCTAAGCCTGGCAAGTATGGCCACAGCCAAGCTTTCTTGGCAACCTTGGCCACCAAAGCTTGGCCTTCCTGGCTTTGTTACTTCCAAGGCCGAGCTTTCTCGGCAACCCTGGTCAAAAAATCCTGGCCTAATAAATCAGCATATCTTGTGGACCAGTGTCCTACTCTGTGGCCACTTCTTGTTGATGTGCCTTCTTGTATTGTTACAGTATGACAGTCAAACTATCTGAAGCTTGAACACCTAGACATCATTATTGATTTCATTAATCGATTATTGAAAAAATAAGTTTTGCAATATTCAAATCAAAACCAGTTTCAAAAAATTTGCTTTTTTATTGAAGTCATTAAACAAAAAATAGTCATTCAATTAAAAAACGAATTTTCAAACTGTTTTTGATTCGAAAAATTTGCTTTCACTAAATTGAGGAATGAATTCAATAATCCATTCTTGAAGCCAATAATGATTTCTAGCTGTTCACGCTTCAGGTAGTAAAAGTTCCCAGACAGTTATAGTAAGAAAAGGAAGCATGCAAGCCTTCTCAATAGGGCTTATGTTTATTTATTGACATTTAGTGCCCACATCTTTGATTCTCCATACTTAGGTTGGATTGCTACATGTGACATCCAGTTGTGCTATATTTTATGTCCAGCATTGCATTAGAATTTATTTAGATCTTCCACATGAATTGTAGTGAGTGTGATTATTTACAAAACACACAATGACCCACCCACAATCATCGTGAAATTCTCTTTTGGCCCACCCCATGATTTCCCCTCCCCCCACCCCCCCCATAAATAATGACCGGTCCCTAATGTTATAAATTGGCCTTTTTATGCTAATGCGAGTCAATGTATTCCTTCCGGGACAACGCTCGGCTTCAAATAAACGGGGCCTGTCAAGTACAATTACCAGGTACCGTGGAGCACGGTTAGGCTAGAGGATGAGGCTAATCATGCAAATGGCTTCTTTGGAATTTTGTTCTTCTGAACTGGCTAGTATTAGTAGCCACATCTAAAACTGGCTCATCCGCGAATGAAACAAATCGGATGTCTATATAACACTACAGAATTTTAAATTATGATAATCAAATCATATCGAAGATTTTTTTGTAGTTTTCCAGTTCATGCTCCCAATAATGCCGACCCCATTGTGCTCAGAAAGTATTTTTCTCTTTTTAAGGAGGTCGACTTAGCTCAGAGGTCTTTAGCTTTTTGACTTATTTTAGTGCTTTTCCCATCCTTGGAGACCCCAGAATGTCCGGTACAACAACAATCCAGTCATCAAGAAGTCGACGTGCTCGCGCGCGCTGTTCCGGTTTTCTCAGGATTCTCCTCTTCTTACCTTTGCACCTGTCTTCAATTTCTCTTACGAATTCAACGAGTAATTTCCTGGCTCCTTTCTGTTTCTTATTTATCTCGTTCTTTTTTTGGTTTATATAGTTGGAGAACTCTGCAAAATAAAGTAACAAACAAGGACGTGATATAAATCTGACTGAATTTAGAATATGTAAACATGTTTTCAGTGAGTGTCTACAGGTCCTATGCCAAGTGTGTCCTTGGTAGGACTTTCATTCCCCCCCCCACATGCACCCACCCAGGACAATGGGTGACTGTCTTCGCCTCCCACTGAGCTCTGCAATTATCATGATAATCATTCTCAGCGGAGGCCTGATTCAGTTGGCTAGGCCAAAGTAAGAACAAGGTACTTGCCAGTCAAAGCCTCTAGTGAACACTGCTGCTTACTGAAGGGGTTGTGTCAAAATAGCTACCCCACTAGTTTTTCCCCCCGACCTGATCCACCCACCCACTGTTAGGGCAGTCCCTGTACCGACCAAGACGGCAAGCCCGCTACTGTTTTGGACACTGCACTGGCCTGGAGCCGGGCTGCGCCCGAAATCAGACAGAAATACTCTCCTCAGTTTAATGAGAACGAGCAATGAAAGTCAATTTGAAACGAAGTCTCCTTGGCTTATTTCAACACAACCACTACCACTGAAGCTAAATTAAGCCTTGTCCACATATATCCAAATATTTTGTTTTGAAACAGGAGATTTTCTCCGTTTTCATGAACAAACTACGCCTCCACACATAGCGTATTTGAATTGTTTTAGTCCGTCTGGCTAGTTTCAGCGGTGCAGTATGTTGCCCAGTATCCGGACGGAACCAGTATCCGGACACCTGAAACAAAAACTCAAGCTAACTCAATTTTTGAGGCGCCCTTTTCAGTTCTAGGTAAACGAAGTATTTCTTATGAAAGCTGAACATTTCAGCTTTAAGATGAAAGTTTTGTCGATTTCAAAGCTTGCGAAACAGTCGCAGAAGACGCCGTTCTGTTCAGGTGAGTAAACTATTCATGGCTAATATTTACGCTGTTTACTGTGCAGTAAAATCAGTGCTGCTCAGAAAAGGGAGGGTAATGTGTGATATTTTCAAAGAAAATGTTTTATTTTTAAATTGAAGATACTTAAGGAAGTCAGGTTTCAGAAAGTTTCTTAATTCTTCCTGAAATTCGATTTGTTTGGAATAACGGAGGCCAGAAACATTCACTAAGTTTTGATGTCATGTGCCCAGTATCCGGACAGTTTTTTCTTTGCTGTACAGAATCGATGAATTAGCTGTGTACATTATCCGGATAAGATTTATTCCATATCAGTAACTATAATTAACGCTTAGGATATATGATACAGTCGTAAAATGTAATTCTACTCAACTGCGTATGGAAATTTTCTTCACTCATTCAGAGGCGACTCGATTTCGTGTGCACGGTTTGTTTCGCGTGACTGCATTTTCTATATATAACTGAAAGCGTCTGAGTTGAACCTGGAATTCTCGCACTTTCCCTTGTTGTGACTGCTAGAATGGGGTTGCAACGGTCTGAAAAATGTCACAAAGGGATTGAGAGATGTGAAAGAGGGAGGAATTAGTGCTAGAAAAGCAGGCTTATTGTGGGGACTGAGCATGAAGAAATAGACACTGCAGGTCAGACTAAATAGGAGAGTGACCTTTGACCGTCCGGTTGAGGTCCCTTCCCCAAGCTTTTTTTAAAATAAAAAATGAAGAAAGAAATTCGTTTGCAGATTGGCTAATTGAGCTTGCAAACTGCGGCTTCGGCATGTCCACGGATGCCTTCCTTGAATCAGTGAAAAAGTTCCTAGACAAGGAAGTAAGAATTATACCATTTTTAAAACAGCCGCTCGCGTTCCCCACCATACCCCAGTCATTTGTTATGTTTTATTTCACGATGCTAGGTTATATTTTTGGAATCGATTGCCAGACTACTTTGCAAGTGCAAGCGAAGCTTATAAGTCGCTTGCCTGTCGAAATTTATGTACAATTACGTTGTTATTGTTGTGTCCGGATACTGGGCCAGCTGTCCGGATACTGGGCAACATAGGAGCTCTGCAAAAATATTAATTTCGCGAAGGAAACAAAGGCAAAAAAGTTAAACTGTCTTTCGTGATATTAAGGACTAGATAGATTTTCTCTGGGCCAAATTTCAGAGCTCTTGCGATTAACAAAGGAAAGTTATTAAAATCTTAAACTGAAGTGTCCGGATACTGGGCAACATACTGTATTGCCGGGTGGACTATATAAGGCACATGCACCATCAATTAATTATTATTCTCCAGAAAAGACACAGAAGTTATTATTATGGCTTTCCACCTTGCCTTTCCCGCTCTCCGCTCCATTGCTCCTCTCTCGGATGATATTTTATTTCTCTTCCCGCCCCACCCAAATCTATCTCGGGTGTGCATCTTAATTTCATGTGGAAGAAGCCGCCAGTTTTTCCCAACCTTTATATACTGTAGGAGAGTGGGCTAGATCGCTGTAAATGGACCACAAATGAAAAGGCTAGCATCCCTTGGAGAGCATGCCCAATGCCATCACCTTATTCAAAAACCTTCGTTTTCGCCCGTCCACACACAAGTGAGAAGCAAGCGTTTTCATAAATCTCCCGATTTTGAAACCGTTAGGTTTTGGTTCCCGAAAACGCTGTGTGGACGGAACACACTAGGAAGACTATGAAACTCGGAGAAAAAAAACCCCTCTGTTTTAAAAAATATATTTCTGGATACGGATGGACGGGGACATAATATTCCTTAAATAGCATGCTTACATTTTACAGTATCAGTTTAGTTGAGGAAAATTAAATTTATTAATAAAATACTACGTAGACTCCTTACGGTACCTGAGCAATCAATAACTTTCTGTTTATCGGCCTTTTTGATGATAATAAGAGAAGGTCTCATTCAAGGCTTTGTCGGGGGCTGAAATCGTTTCACTGATCAACCTTACTTTGTTTTCAAGAAAAACATGGAAAACATTCCTTTTAGCTACGCAAATGAATGTGCTTAAACAGCCAGGGGCGTACGAGATATTTCAATGACATAAGAGAACACTTTTATTTAGGGAATGACTTCAAACAATCGCTTGATGCACTTCGTCGTTTATATTCGAATGCAAACGATTATGATTTGAAATTGACTTATTCTACTACTGTGAAACTCAGAAAACCGTGAAGACATGAAAAATTTCGGGAATGTTGATTGTGTGGTGAACAATCACAATAATAATGATAATGTTCAGGACACGCCAGCAAACCTCAAAACCACAAACTAATTACCGTTGCTGTTTGCGGTTTAGTTTTCTCATGCCTTTAATATTGGCTATTTCCTCGCAACACAATAACATTCCATAAATCAGATTCTGGTGTTCACAGTTTTTACCCCCGCAGGGATTTCGCCCAGAAGGCGAAGCCCGGGAAGGGTACTGCCATATATAGGCTATATAGGTATGTGCCGCTGTGAAGGGTATGGTTTTCAAGCAGTTTACTCTAGGATAGGGTATATAAATCAGAACATTTGGGTCTAGAATAGGGTATCAT